CTTAGCAAAAAATTACGAGTTTAGAACATATGAATAGTCAGATGATGATTTATAACTTTTAATAGTTGGGTAACTCAACAAAGCAACGCCTTATAGTTAGGGGATCATCCTGGACTCAACAAAGCATCACCCTATAGTTGGGAGACCATTTGTGTACTTTACCATATAATCTAAGTCATATGTGTACTCAAACCCGTTAGTTTACGAATGGTTAACGTATGTTGCTGACGTTAAAAGTGAAGATGTGATACAGACATGTTCAAAGGTGATGATGTAACACATGTCATGTGTTGAACTAACATGTGTCACACCATCATTCTGGACACGTCATCACTTTAAACACGTAAAATTTATCATGTCAGCAACATGTTAATTTGCGGCAAAAAATAAAATCGAAACTGTAAATTACATTCGATTCCGTACCTTCCAAGAAACACTACTTCTCCAAGGAAGATAGAACTCATGACCACTGCAATGACAATTGAAGTTTGCCTGAAGCTTACAACAAATGCAGGCCCCTTCAAGCGCACCCCCCATATTTTCACAACGCCTAAAATAGAGAACCCAACAAGTCCCTAAACCAGTAAGGAACAGTAGCAATGTTACATTTGAATATTCGTATCGAACACGCACCCGAGTTTAACTAAATCGATAACTTAAGATCGTACCGAGTACAGGACAGCAACGACGGCTAAACTAGAACTTAATCTCCAGGAACTCAAGTTTGGTTCAGCAAGCATATTGGTAGAGCTATAATGGTCCCAAGCAAGTTGTATAAGAAATTTACAGTGATCTCTTCCGGGTAAATCTTCATCACTTGAGACTGTAATTTGCAATGAAATTCAAGTTCTAGGACTAGGTTAATGCATTTGAAGAGGTTGAAAACATAATTTTTCACCTGGATAATGAACCCGAATGAAATAAGAAGATATGCAACAGCTTCTAGGAGGCCACCAATGATCCAATTTGATTCAAATGACATAAACACTAGAGGCCTTTGAAGTAAAACAGATGATGAAGATGAAACAACTTTGGTGCCCTTGTAGAAAACAATCACTAATGCTCCGGTCATTGATGTTATGGTGCCAATGATTTTAGCTTGAGTACTTGAACTTCTAAATGCTACCTTTTCCATCCTTGCATGTGCAAAACCCAAAAACAAGAGAAAAGGGGGTCTAAGGGGAATTTTTTCAAACACAGAAAGATCATAAAACATTAAGGGTAAACTACACGGGTGACCATTTACTTATTGTCTCCTTTCATTTTGACCACATATGTTTTGATCAATCAGACTTCCAACAATTTAAACGATTCAATCAAACCATTAACCATTAGCTTTTAACAGAAGTGCTGACGTGTCAACTATTGCCTGCTTTAAATGTTTTGATTTCGTCAATCAGACTAGTCAACTATTTAAATTATTCAATCAAGGTATTGACCGTTAACCTTTAACATAAGTGCTGATGTGGAAGTTAATAGAATTGGTATAACATGTGTCACCGTTTGATTAAAGAATTAAATTTATTGAATTAAATTAAAATCAGGATCAAAATGATCATTTATTGAGGATCGAATGTGTAATTATATATATTTTATCAATTGTCACATCAACACCTCCGCTAAAAGTTAACAATAAGTGGCTTGATTCAAACATTTAAATAGTTGGATTGTCTGATTGATGAAATTGAAACATAGGCAATAGTAGAGTGGTCACCCGTGTAGTTTACCCAAAAATTAAACTTGCTGAAGGAACGAAGAAACCTGAAGAAGACAGCGAGAATGAAGGTAAAAGCTGGAATGAGATTGTTAATGGCGGAAGCAAGAGTTGGGGAGCTAAGTTCTAAGCCTTTGTATACAAGTAATTGACCTGAAACAAATTCACTTTTCATAGTCAATCATTAAGTGAATTTTAAGGGAAGAAAATCCATACCCCATAACTGCAATAATGAAAATTCTTGAAAATAGAGGGAACTTTAATGGAGGGAGTACTGTTTCTCTGCAAAAGAGAGAGGAAAAAAACTTCAGATGAACAAAGAAGACATGCAAAAGTTCCAAATGGAATTCATGAAAAAGACCTGTTGAAGGAGGCTAAAAGGAGGAAAACAAGGGTGCCTAAAATATAACAGTAGGCAGTGAAGACGAAGAAGCTCATCCCTTCCAAAGAAGCAGCTTTGGCTAGAACGTTAATGGCTACCATGGAGAACTCTGCTGCAACTATGGCTATGCTTGGTAACACCGATTCCTTCAATTCATTCCTTCTTGTCATTTCCCTTCCCTGTTTCTAACATATCAGCATATTTAGTTTGTGGTGTAATATAAATAGTGGTGCGCGATATCGTCCGCTACATAACGGTAGTGGTGTCCTCTATGACCGTTATTATTTAATCGCGATATCCGTAATCATCTCAATAGCTCCTGTTATATTTGTAATCGCGATAAGGGACGGCGACTGTAATTTGAATCCCTACAAATGACCACTTAACTATTGTCGGGTTTTATTTTGACCATCAACATTTCAATTTCATCAATTAGACCACCTAAGTATTTAAATACTTCAATTAAACTACATGTCGTTAACATTTAACGAAATAGGTGATGTGACAGTTAAAATATTTTGGTATAATTATACAATTGGTCATTGTTACTTATATATTTTTTCGATTTGGTCTTAATTTTGATAAATTAAAATAAATGTCACCGGTAGGTGGTAAAACATTTAAATAATTGGAAGATTTGATTGATAAGATTGAAACATCAATTGTTAAAATTAATTTTGGTAATAGTTAAGTGGTCACCAATGTAGTTTACTCTTATATTAATGATTGATATAATTAAAGTAAAGTATATAAATGGTCATCAATTATATAGTGTTGTTTTGTTGAGATTGAGACCACTAAAAGTTATGAAACGAACCTTTGATTATAACACGTCACTTTGTTGAGTCTCCTGACTATTAGAAGTTACAAAATGGTTATTTGACTATTCATATGTTCCAAACACATCTTTTTTCGTAAAAAAATTGACGGTCTTCTGAGCTGGACGTTAACCTGCTGATTGAGATATGATAAAATCATATATTTTAATGACGTCTATTGGCACCGTCGTTGCTTTCAAGCACTGACTTAACGACATAATGTAAATAGAGAGTCAATCCATCAAATACAGTTCAAACAGTTATGGGATCAGATTTTATCATACCTCAATTAACAGATAATTTGAAACATATGAATAATCAGGTGTCCAATTAATAACTTTTAATAGTAATGAGACTCGACAAAGTAATATGTTATAATTAGTGTATCATTTTATAATTTTAATAGTTTAAAAACTCAACAAAATAGCATCTAACTAAACGACCGTTTGTGGAAGCGTCTGATAGAATAGTCAAAAAATTCTAAGAGTATGACATGTCACTTCACGAGCCTTTTTAACGCTCGTTACGGTCGAGAAACTTAAAGTGATAACACTTATAACATTTATAAATTCGTGAAAACGGTATAATTAAGACATTTATTTTATATTTAAGACTATTATAAATCTATTGGGTCAAAATGATGGTGGTGGATTAGGTGTGAGTCATACCATTGTATAACATTTATTCATATTACAATTCCCATCGAATCTCTTGTACAGAGACAAAGTCTACTACACGACACTTACAGTTATAAAACGACAAAGGAAAAGATACAACAACAAAATCACCATTCTTTTTTTTAATATATATCTCTATATAAGTTAGGGTTGATGATTTATAGTTTTAGATTTTATGTTTAAAATTTAAGTTTTAGTGTTGGTTGTTAACCACATGTATTATTTATTTTTTCTTTAATTTTTATATCACATGTTTATTTATTTTTATTTTTTAATTTCTAATAACTCTGCATTTATAACATATTTTTCTCTGTCTCTTGGTACATTTAGTTTTCTTTTTTTGGTTGTTTGGCTGTTCTTTTCGATTAATTTTCTTATGGTTGGATTTGACGTCGTCTTGTTTGATAATTTTCCATGCTTTAAACCCTCAAATTGGAATTCAATACACAATTTGCATTCAAATTAGTTTTCTCGTGATGTTGTTCACTGCTGCAGACATATCAGTTCGTACCTATTGTTACACCCCAATTTAGGGACTAAGTTTTTCTTAATATTAATTTTGAGGACTAAATTGATTTTTTGGTTAAATTTCAAAGACCAAATTAAAATTTTAAATAAATGCAAGACAAATTCGTGAATTATGAAACACTTGAGGACATGTGGCATGATTTGTAAAGTTTCCTCGTTTGTAACTTGAACTTTTTTATCTCCTCATACTTTCCTCTTCTAGGAAGCTTTTAGTCAAGAAATTTCAAACGTTGTTTCATAGTCGACCGTAGCTCCGTTTACTACGGGTTGATGACTTGTTGGTGAGGCTGCCGTGGAGTATGGGTCACGGGACCAACGCTATGCTGCTGTCGTGGAATGCCTGCTGGGACCACCAACGGGCACGCGAGGTGCTGAAATGTGGCTTGTTGTGTGCTGGTAGCCGTCGTGGACCCTTCTGGCGCGTGTGAGGTTGTGAGTCGGGACACAAGCTGCTGATAGGACTGTTAACTGCTGGAATGGGAGTTGTGTTGGGCAAAATTAGGGTATTATATTAGTGTTAGATTTGATATCGTCTTGATTGATTAAGATTGTATTTATTTTATTATCGTTTTAATATTTCATATTTTGGACCCTCACGTTAAAAGTTCTAAACTTGTAATTTACCCTATAAATTATGATTGTTTTTTTTATTAAATTATGATTGTTATTTATATATGAATCGAGATCTTTATTGATTCATATTTAACTCATTTTTGGGGAAATCACCATTTTCCCCTTATACTTTGAAATCTTTTCAATTCAGTCTAAATCTTAAATTTGACACTTCTTCAGAGGCAAAGTATTACACCTTGTTTAGCCCCAGATTATAATCTAAATTAATAGTGGACTAAACAAAATCTTCATTGTAACTACTGGTTCGGTCGCATAAAACCGACCCCGGCTCGCCCGCCTGTGCTAGTTCGACGAACGATGCAAATGGGATTCTTCAAAAACCATGAATCCAACACAAATTCAGCACGGAAACTACGTCTGCAAAGTGACAAAAGCCTGCATTTTTCACCCATCTTCACGTCTTCCAAGCAGACAACACAATCCAAGACTTGATTACTACCATTCCCTTTGTCTTTTGCTTTGTAATCATAGCATGTAAGCTTCTTAACATCATCCTCGTACACGGTCCGATTCGTGTTGCTGTTGTCGTCATCGTCGTTTAAGTCGAATTTCTTACTTCAATTCTAACATCACCTAAATTGGTGCTTCCCCGGCTATGATGCTCTCTCAACTCCAGAAAATCTTCACCCTGATGCCCTGTTTGCGCGCCTAAAACCGACCCCGACTCGCCCGAACCGGCGTCCGTCCGACAAACGGGGCAAATGGGGTTCTGCAAAAGCCATGAATCCACACATTCAGCATGAAAACTATGCTTGCAGAGTGGCAAAAGCCTGCACCTTTCACCCATCTTGAACTCTTCCAAGCACACAGCACAATCCAATACTGTAAACCAAGAACTCTTCTCTTCGTCGTCCTTGACTTCGTAATCATAACACGGGAGCTTCCGAACATCATCCTCGGACATAGCTCGGTTCGTGTGGTCGTCATCATTGTTGTCGTTTATGTCGAATCTCGAAGGGCTTCGGAATCCTCTCATGATGAAGGATCCGCCTACTATACAAACATGGACTAAAACCAGCATTCCAATGCCGAGAAATAGAAGAATCACAGCTATGACAATGGCCATCGACCTAAAATTTGCAGCCTCCAAAAAAATTCTAAACACACATCCCCAAACTATGACTTGTTTTAAATTGGTTCCCAAACTTTTGTGGTTCACATGGAACATGAATCAAAGCTGATTTGAATATGACGAGTGATTTTTTTAAAGAATCAAAGGGGTTGCCGTGTTGAGGGAAATGCAAGAGTGAAAGTGATTTCATGGATTAATTAATGTGGAATGGTTAACCCTCGTGATGGAGTAGGTGGGAGAAAATAGTAATATAATAATATAGTTAATTGCAACATGCATCCTCAAACTATGACTCTTATTCTAAATTAATCCCTAAACTTTTGAAAATCTTAATTTTGTCCCTAAACTATGATTTCCATTCTAAATTGGTCCCCAAATATTTGAACATTCCATTTAGGGATGACAATTTAACCCAAAAATGACATGTTCTGATAGAGTATATATTTTTTTAAAAATTATGCTTTGGTCGAGTCAGGTCAAATTTTTTAAAGAAGTGAGGTCGGGTTCAAGTGGAGAGTGAAAAAACTCTGACCTAACCCGGTCCGGGTATAAAAATGTAATTTTTTTTAAAAAATCATTATTATTTTAATTAAGTTCTTATTTTATACCATGTCGGGTCAGGTCGGGTCGAATCTATACTCTAAAAATTCGGATCGGGTCATAGTCGAGTTGAGGATATATATTTTCAAGTTGGATCGGGTCAGGTTCAGTGGAGGGTACATATTTTTCCAGTCGAGTCATGTTGGCCGAAAACCCGACCTGTTATCATCCCTAATTCCAATAATATCCCCTAAATCATTCAAAACTTTAAAGTTGAAATTAGAATATTTAAAAATGTACGGATCAATATAGAATGAGGGTTTTAGTTTGGAGATGAATTTGGTATGTTCAAAATTTTGGGGATACATATAAATGAAAAAGCTTAGTTTTAAGGATGAAATTCAAATATTTAAAAGTTTAAAACTTAATTTAAAATAAGTCATAGTTTAGGAACATATATAGTGCAATTAACTCATAATAATATGAAGAGACAAGATTGAAATAAAATCATAGGAAGATTGATGGCTCCAACTTTTATTTCATTCTCTTTATTTGACTACCTTTTAAGCTGTTCTCTCACAAATTACCTGCCCACAAAGTAAAGATGGGCTGAAATTCTTGAAATCATCGAACTTCTAAATATCTAATATAATTTTGGATAAAGTACATAAATGGTCCCCTGACTATAGAATATTATTTTATTAAGTCCTTTTACTATTAAAAGTTATAAAATGTCCTTTAACTATTCATTATGTTCCAAACTCATCATTTTCTATTAAAAATATGTGGTTGTTTAAGTTGGACGTCAACATGATGATTGAGATGCGATAGTCATTAGAGATTCTACGATCATATTTTATCATATCACAATCAACGGACTTGGAATATAATTAATAGTCGAGTGACCATTTTGTAACTTTTAATAGTCGATGGACTCAACAAAGCAATATTCTATAGTCAGAGGATTATTTTGTAACTTTTAATAATCAATGGACGTAATTAATAATAATCTATAGTCAGAGGACCATTTGTATACTTTTCACTATAATTTTTTAGAAGTTCGTATATTTATATAAAATTGTGTTTATCTTTACCAATAAGTATAGAAAGGAGATAAAATAATGAGACATTTTTTTTCTTTATGAATGTTTAAATTTCGATTTTAATCGAACTAATCAATTAAAGCAAAGTTTTTTTTGATTAATCGGACATCATTCGAATAATTTTAGGCTCGATCGATTAATAATTAATAACTTTTCAAACTTTGCTTATCAGTTAATTTGGTTCAAAGCCAATTAATTAATAAAATTAGTCGATTAACAGAAACATTAAATATTTAATATATTATATATATTATTTATATATTGCTTAGCCTTAGTCTAGTTTGTTCAGTTTGATTAATTCGGTTAAATATCAAATATTTAATATATTATATATTAAATAAAAAATTAATAAATTTAAATTAATCGAAAACCAACCAAATTAATCGAACTTTGTTTCCTTGATTAAAAAATTTTGAAAAAAAATCAATCCGTTTAAATGTTGAAGATTCCGTTGATTAACTGAATCTACCGATTTAACACTCCTATTTCTCCTATTTTTGATTTTGTTACAAAATAGACGACACTAGATTATTAATTGTAAGGGTGAGTATTCAATCGAATCAAATAAAAAATTGAATTATTATTTAAGGCCCAAGGACTAGACTTGATCATACTATGGGTAATTCAGATTAAATATTATAATAAATTATATTGCAATGGGTTAAAGAATAACTGTGGTAAATCTTTTCTATTCTTTTTAAAGTATTCATGTTTGATAAATAAATCACGTTGAATTTAGCATAAAAAGAACTTTAAATAAATTAAAATACCGTATATTTTATTGATTAATCTAATAGTGATTACAATGTAATATTTGTCTGAAAGACTTTCAACCCATTTGACAATGAACGCTCAAACACCCTTGGCATACATACGATGTGCTCGAACCCGAGACCTCTAAGAATAACAACTATTTCTTAACCACTAAGGTAGCTTGATTCGTGTACCGTAATCGAAGCATATATTTAAATCCGACACTCACCCGAGTCCGATATGTATGTATGTATGCGTGCACATGCACTACAAGCGTCCAGCTATGGCATTAGCAACAGTCCAAATCTAGTAGCTGAGAAGTTGACAAAGAAGGCACAACAATGGGTAATTTATGAGATTAGGTACCAATTTGGTGACGATAATAAATTTAAAAAAGTAAACTATGTTTAACATATGATTAAGACATCTAAACCAAGAATAATTCACATTCATGATTTGGGTCTTTAAGATGTGCAATTGCAATCATAAAATTTATCATAATATATACACTATTATTGTGCAACATTTCTGGCATGATATTCTTCTACGAGAATAGTCCGAAAAGGATCGAGTCCTATTTATACTACTTCTGAAACCCTAAGCCCGTGACATTAACGAGGAAGACAACGGTGGGAAACCATATGTAAAGAACATCGTTCCTATGATTCCGGTCCGACTAATTTCTAAACCATGGTCAAAGGTATCCCAATGATTCAAGAGAATTTGCAAGGAATAAAGGATGACCATATAACCAAAACCAAAGCAATAAGAGGTGATTGTGGAGTGTAGACTCCGCAGTTGGCAAACTAAAGCTCATATATGTGTATGTGGGTAAATAAAAGAAGACATCAGTACTTGATACGAGCACGTATGGTTTTATATAGAAACTCACTGTTAGGAACCGATTACGTGGCCTTCACGAGCAACACGTGTGACCCGGAGCACGTAAGGTTTTATATAGAAACTCACTGTTAAGAACAGATTACGTGGCCTTCACGAGCAACACTTGTGACCCGAAGCACTGCTTGCGCACTTAAAGGGGAGAGTTTTGACTGACAAAAGTTCTCCCAATAGCTAATATCTGGTTGCTCAGATACTGTTGTTGAAAGGCCATGGGATTTCTCATATACGGTTTGCAGCTCTAATAGAAGGGTCCGAGCAGCCTCACGGGACTCCGGGAGCTGATCACTGAGCTGGGATGCAGCTACTTGTATCAATTTGTCAATTCCATAATCTTGAATTCCTTCAACACCCTGTCAAAACAAAACAAAAAAACACCTTTACCGAAAAGCAAACAAAGAATAGTTTAATTAAAAAAAACATTCAGTTACTGAAATTTAAATGTTAGCGTGGCTGCAAATTCTGCAAATATAGTGAATGACAGTAGGATTCACATTAACACTAACAGCACAATTTTTTTTGAAAGGGTAACAGCACAAATTGACCATGATTAATATCCAGAAAACAGCCTGTTTTCTGAACAAAATAAAATAGCAATAATCATATCAGATTTCATTTGCCTTACCAGTCGTCGAACACTGCGACTAAAGCATGTTGATGCCTTTGCTCGAATCCGTGGATTTCTGTTCTTAAGATGGGGTTGCAACTTGGGCAACAACGACACCGGGAAAACTAAAGTAGTCAAGGTCTCTAAAGCTCTCTCAGCTGCCTCACATACAAATCTTTTGTCTTGTGAAGACTTGAGAAGAAGCTGTACGAGCTGTAGAAAAACATTTGAACAGATCAGAGAGGTCGGAACTCGTTAGCTTGCATCCCAAGATGAAGAAACATTCACAACGGGAAAAACAACAAAGATGGCAGTGCACATTCCAAAATATAAACAAGCACCCAGACAAACGTGGCAATAAATCATAGAGACTGTTATAGTACCAGGGGATCCAAAAACTCCACCAAATCATCAGCATATGCCCTGAAAATGTCTGCAGATGTCATAATTGCAGTTTTACAAACAGCGCTTCTTGGATTCTTCAAGGACTTAACTACCAGCGGGATCAAATCACCCCTGCACATTAGAACAATGAAAGAAACATGACATTCAAATAAAATCGAATTAAACCTCATCCTCTAGTATTTTTGATCAGATAACTGTTTAAGTGTTTAGACTTACAGCATACTACGAATTGCTTCCCTGTGGAACGTTGATAATCGGCGAAAATTATTGAGAGATTCAACAACCAGAACCCAATCTTTGGACTCAAGTCCAGGTAAGAGCTTCTGATATAGGTAAACATGCATAATAGTGAATGGTAGAACATCAAATACCCGCACATGAAATTTAAGAATAAGAAAATATAAACTTTTACCTCAATACAAGCATCAACATCCTCTAGATCACTCAAGTTCTCAGACTCAATGTATTCTACTTCCGTGTTAGCTACCTCTACTCCACCATTTACAGCTTCACTCCCGTTTATGCAAACGGAGGCAATGCCTTTCTGCTCCAGCTCATCAACATTCTCAATTGTGTTTCCATTGCAAGTCCTAGTAAATTTAACTTTACTCGAGCCGTCATTCTTTCTTTCGGACATAGGTAAAGTATTAAGATCTCTTAGAGCATTCCCCGACATCGTAGAAATTAAAGTCTGGAACCAAACCGACAAAGGAATTAAATTAATTACTTTTCCGAATACAACAACATCCAGCAACTCTAACTCTCTAAGCAGGAATCTACGAATTTCATCGCATTTTCAAAAGCTTGTTCTTATAATGCAAACCGTACAGCCAAACAACCACCATTTTTAACCCCCAATTACCAAATCCAGCCATAATGACCACTTCTGTTGCAAACTACCAAATTATACAGATTGAACACCAAATCGTAACCGAAATCCGAAAGCATTACACTAATTGCAGGCTTTGAAACCTCAATTCAACCAAGTTTAGCATCGCTTCACCACCGGAAAATCAAGAAATTAAGACATTAATACATCGATTTCGCACCGGAATTTTTCACATTGCAGAAACGATCAACAATAACAAATAGAACTAACTAAATCCCCGTTAATTTGATTCAATACAAATCGAAATCCACGAATTAACACAAATTATGAAATTTCCACAAATAAATCATGTAAATAAGCGAAACTAAAAAAACAAATCAAGTAAAAAGATCTGTAAATCGAAAATATCTTCACAAAAAATTATTCTAAATTTAAAAAAAAAATCTAGAGAGAGAAAGAGTACCAGTAGAGAGAGAAAGCAATTAGATCGGCAAATACCGTGACTTGCATTTAAGACTGCACGGTGAATATGGAGAGACTAAAAAAGGGTCAAACACAGAAATGGTCATTAAGTTATGTTTAAATGAATGTTTTACAATTAAGAGTAAACTATGCATTTAGTACCTGAATCATCAGTTTAGGTCCGTTTTAGTATTTAAATTTATAATTGTTTCAAAATCATAATGTTTAGTTTTTATTTCATTTTGTACCTCACCATTCAAAACTTAACGCATTTTCCACCTAGGCTACCTGTTTTGGTCCGTTTTAGAACATATACTTTTATTTTTTTTCAAAACTTGATGTTAAATTTTGAACGGTACTGAAATGAAACAAAAACTAAAGTTTTTAACGAATGAGTACTAAAATAAAACAAAAACTAAAATTTAAGTATGGTTTTGAAAACATTAAAAGTTTAGGTACTAAAACTGACCAAATTGTTAGTTTAAGTACTAAATACATAATTTAAACTATAATTATTTTTTTAAATATTATAAAATAATCATTAAATTTTATCAAAATATAATGAAATGCTCACTAAATTTTATATAATTTTCATAAAATAATCATTAAATTATTACTTTTTTATACTTATTATAATATCACAGTGATTATTTCATAAATTGAATGCTTATTTTGTAAAATTGGAAAATGTAGTAACTAAACCGATCTTTTGAGTATAGTTTAATGACTCTCATGGGTACTTTACCATTTTATTTATATAAATGAAAATAAAAAACAAAACGACATCGTTTAAGTCATTTTGAGAAAGCAAACCGACCGGGTCGGCAGGGCACGAGTTTATATATTGCATTCACTCTTATCTCTCGTGATTTAAATTAATTTTTAATTATTTTGTAAATAATACCCTCGATCTTGATCTAAATAGCGAAAATGCACTTTTTGACTTAAGTAAAACTTAGAAACTAAGTAATGTTTAGTCTCCTAACTTATATTTTTTGTAATTTGGTCCCTGAACTATTTTTAATTCATATTACTTATAGAATTTTTTTTATTTTAATGATTTGGCACTCTAATATTATATAATTTTTTAAGGAAATAAAATTTAACATTTAGTTTTCATTTCATTTTAGTATCTCATCCTTAATAACATAACGCGATTAGTATCTAAACTATCAGTTTTGATCTGTTTTGGTACCTACATTTTCAGTTTTTTCAAAAAATTAGCGTTGAATTTTGAACGGGTACTAAAATACAACAAAAACTAAAAGTTTAAAATACTAAAATGCATAATTTACCCAAAGTTATAATTTTAAAATGAAACTAATAATTAAAATCTGAAAGTAAACTATACGTATAATTTTAAAAATCTGAAAGTTTAAATACTAAAACAGACTAAAACTAATAATTAAAATACTAAATGCATAGTTTACCCAAAATTTTATTTACTTTTTCAAGTAAATAAAATTTTGGGTAACTTATGCATTTAGTACCTAAATTATTAGGTTTGATCCGTTTTAGTACCTAAACTTCCATTTTTCTTAAAATCATACATAATGTATAGTTTTTATTTCATTTTAATATCCCTCCATTAAAAACTTAACGTGATTAGTGCTTAAATTATCAGTTTGGTTCGTTTTAGTACATACATTTTCAAAAACAAATTCAAAACTTAACGTTAAAATTTGAATGGTTATTAAAATGAAACAAAAATTAAACTTTATGTATGGTTTTGAAAAAACTGAAAGTTTACATATTAAAATGGACTAAAACTAATAATTTAATTACTAAACACATAATTTACCCAAATAATTAAGGACCGGTTTTAGAACCTTTTAGACGGATAATTAGTGTCGGTGCATACAAATTTTGGGCTGCCATTATTGAAGAGACATGGAGGTATCCATGGGGGCCTCTTGAAGAGCCATGGAGGTAGTATCCATGGGGGCCTCTTGAAGAGCCGAATGCTTCTTTTCCTTCTTTTGATGTGTGTGTGTGTGTTTTTTTTTTACTTTTGTTTTAATAAGAGCAAATAATGCCCAAATTTTAAGGTTTTGTTTTTGTATACAGGATGGACATAGATCGGATCAGGTCGAGTTTTCAGTCAATCTAATTTGACCCGAAAATATAAATCTTTCACCCGAAAATTGACTCTATTTAAGTTTAGGAATATCTTCAATAGACTCGAATCTGACCTGATTTTTTGAGATAAAATTTGAAGGTGACTCGACCCGACCCAAAATAAATATATTTATAAAGAATACTATTTTTATTCAATAAATATAAGGATCTAATTAATAAATAATACATATAGGGTTTTATTGTAATTGTCTCTAAGTATATAAGGTAAGTTTACATTATTTTTTGGGTCGGTTTTTTAACTTAAAATCGAACTTGACATGACCTGAGCATTTTTTTTAAATCTGACTTGATCCAAACTCAATTTTTTTAAAAAAAAATCTAACCTCATCGGATTGAGTCAGAACCCGTCAGGTTCGATTTCCACCATCCCTATTTGTTTCACAAAGTTTAGGGATAAGGTTTTGTGCTTCTATGATGCGGTCTGGATCATCGGTGGTTGGAGTGTGATAAATTTTAAAGACATTTTCAAAAAAAAAAAAAGTAAACTGATAGAGTGAAAAAAGATTATGAAATTGATACATATATGTCTAAATTGTGAAAATTGAAAAATGAATTCGAAATAGTTTAATAATTAAATTGAAAAAAATATAATTAGATGATCAAAATGGAAATATAATAGAAGTGTAGTGGTTAAACTACATAATTTACCCAAAAGGGAAAAGAAAATAATAGAATTGTAAAAAAGGAAAGGCTTAATTATAAAATAATTGTCAAAACTATATCACTTTTTTCAAATAGGTGTAAAACTTTTTTTGAATCATTTAAGTGCCTAACGTTACAAGCATTATCACTTTAGATGTCATATAATACCCAAAAAATTTGATTATTGATTGAAGTGTAAATTTTGAAAGTTTGGGGACTAAAGTATAAAGTTGTAAAAGTATAGGGATTAATAATTTAAATTTTCAAAATTTATATTTTTGATTTGGAAATCAATAGTTCATCCCAAGACAATTATTTTAGTGGGTTTAAGATTTTTTATCCGGAGTTTGTATAAAAGTTTATTAAATGATAAAGTTCGTTATATTATTCGAATAATCGACTCGAATCGAAAGTTTATAAAAATTTGCAGGAATGTAGATTTGGGTTGGAAATATTATATGGATATTTTTAATTAGAGAAATTTAAACTGGATCGGTGGAATTTTATGAGAATTGCACTATAAAGTGGGATAGTGTAATTTAGTGACTAAAATTTGAAATTTTGAAAAATTGGAGGGTAAAAAAAGAAAAATTGAGAGGTGAGATTTTTACAACTATTTAATAATATTAAAATAGAGATAATGGAGTGTCATGGTTGTAATTTTGAGAATTCATTCATGGCAATTTGGGTTTTTGGCCCAAAATGAAATAATTTTTTTATTAGTTCTAAAAGTAAAAAAAAATTGGGGGATTTTTTCCAGAAATTCCGAGAGTCTCTTCTTCTCCAGCAGGTTGCTGAAACTCATAGCCAAGGTGAACAATTTATTTTTTTTCTATTTTTTTAATCAAATTTAGTAAGATTTTGGACTAAAGTATGAAATAAGAAAATAATATCCATTAAATTCTCTACAATTTCGTGTAATTATTTCTTGGTTTCATGCTTGAGTGGTGAAAGTTACGATTTTGGTGGATGAAGGGGAGTTGAGAATTTGATGATATTAAGTTAGATTTTGATATTAGGAGTGTTGTAGTGTTATAATTAAGCATGAAAGTTGAATAAAATTTGTTGGAGGGATCGGTCTGGTGATTTGGTCATTGATGGATATGTTAGGAAATTGGTTGAATTTAATTTGTTTTGCTTTGAGTTTTATTGAGAATGATTAGAATTGATTGGAAATGAGTTTTACTTGATGAATCAAGCTTGAAACAAGTTGGAGAGTATTAGGAGCCTATTTTGCACGACTTGAGAAAATAAAGCATAATTATGTAATTGTTGGAATTATTGTATTGTGTTGATGATGTTAGGATCTTCAATTGATTCATTTGTGTTCATATTATAAGCTAATAAAAGTGAGTGAGTAAGTTAAGAATGCAAATAAGTGAAATCGGTTTAAATTGGTAATATGGGCAGTAAGTTTAGAAAATCACTATAAATTCTACAATAATGAATAAAAGATGATTTTTATATCGATGGATTTGTAAATCATTTTAGTTTTTTTAAACAAACAGATACTAATTTAAAGGTGTATACAAAAATATATAAATTTTAATCGGTTATAGGTTAGAAACTTGGGCAGCAGACTCCAAACATATTATATAACCTAGATTGAAAATTTTGCCATAAAATGTACGAGTTGAATTAGAATAAGTGCCTTATATGATTAGATTCATATTTTAGTATAGTTTTTAATGGTACAAACAGAATAATTTTTCAGTGTATATATTAATACAAAAAAATACTTCTTTGAAGGTAGTGCAAACTGTCAGTATATGAAATGGTGGTAAATTATGCATTTTGTGATATTTTAATGTTATATGCTATTTTAATTGGATGAAATGAGCCAACTAAATTATCTTAGCATGGAAATTATGACATTTATCATATGAGGAAATCATGATAATTTCATGGAAATGTTGCTTATATGATGAATTTATGTTTTAATCAAAATAGAAACTATGTTAAGAAAACTTAAAATATTTGGCCAGAGGAAAGAAATAAGGAAAATTTGTGATAAAACTTTACAAGGTTTAGAAATTATGAATGAGTGATTCTATATGATTAGAATACGACTTGGGCCAATTTGGAAAATGGTGAAAATATAGGGATCTAATCGCATAAATTGAGAAATATAAGGATTAATGTGTAATTGTTTAATAATTGATGTATTAGGGTGAGATTAAAAGTTGAAGTGCTAAAGTTGATGTCTAGATGGTGAATTGGAATATTTATGAATTTATGATTAAATGACAAGAAGGACTATATTAAACAAAATAGAAAAGTTGAATTGAAAATTTAAAA